AGGGAAAGATCATATGTTTGGAGGATATATCAGAAGGCAAGGCTAGGGCCTTCTTGTCCTGACTTGTAATCTCATTTGCTACAGATACATCCACACTGTGTCAAGTATCACTGGTCCATCTACTTTGGTATCCTCCCTTCAACAGCAACTAGTACTCAGTGCTTCAAATGAAAGCAACCCCTCCCTTAGTACTGCATTCAAAGCCAACTGCTGTAATACTGCACATTAGGAGAAACAATCCTGAGCCCCACAGGTAAATAGTTTATGGCCCCAAACACAAGATTTTATTACTCATGGTGTTACAGAGCTACAAAAGTTAATAATTGTATTGTGACCTAATCCTATTTAAAATCCAGCCATAATATTTGACTCAATGAATTCCCAAGTTGACTGTATGCTATCTAAATAAATATTCCCTGTATTGATTCTTCTTTCACTAACCTTCATTTTCAAATAATCTGTTGGTCACATGTGATGGGAAAAGGTAGAAAGGAGGCACTGATCAATGTCACAACACCCTTCATAATTATTCATGTCTCCATTAATTCCTGCGTAACTCGTGTTATCACTTGAAATTGTGGAGAAAGAGAGACAGACAGACAGAGACAGAGAGAGAGACCTAAAATACATTGAGAAATTGTTCCAAGGCAGTGATAATAATTCAGAAATTCTTGAATTAGTTTCCACATGACCTTGTACCCTTCTTAGGGGGGTCTGAACACTGCAGTTTGCACATTAAAATAGATTTTTCCAATAATATTTAGTGTGCACCAATACTATGGCTGCAAACGAGGGAAATTTGAAAACAGAACTAAAAAATGACTGAGGTGTTGGCAGGATTAACTAGTGAGGGAATGAAAAGAATCAGTCTGAGCCTGGCTAACTGGTGACTAACAGGGATATAATGATAATCTACAAATGTCTTTGGCTTTCGTTCTATAGTGCCCCCAGCTCTGAACCTATACATCAGATGTAAATGCCACAGGAGGTTGAGGGATTGATTGGTAAGGACCAAGTCAGTATACTCAAAGGCCTGTTTAGTCTATAAACTTGAATTAGAGTAGCTACCAACACATGTCTGCCTGTCCCAGTTACAGTACAGTTAAAATCCGTGGCATGGATCAGCATGAACATTGCTAATGGGCCATGTGATCTGGCTAAAGACAGAGAATTCTAGCCTGGTAATGAGACCTGGTTACATCTACAGTGAAGTCCCACCATGCCATTTTCAAATTCTTCAAGTGTTTTGCCCAGGTCTCGCAGCATGATACAGACAGGCCTTGAGACCAGCAAAGGAAAAAATAGGTTAAGTATCAGGAAATACATATAGACTGCCGGAATGACTACCCTGGAGAGGGAGTAGAAGCTAGGCAGAAGATGCTGGAAGGGATAATTTGAATCAGTTAGAAGGAAACAGACTGGATGACATAATTGGTCTTTTCCATCTCACTCCATTAATCATTGATTTTTGGCTTACAGTAAGAGAAACATCAAAATCAACACCCCAAGAACTGGGAACTCATTGCTGGGGCTGTTTATTTTTCTGTATAAGGGAGCTAGTTTCCAACGGCTTAAAAGTCAGTGTCAGATGACATGAAGAGGAATGTGCAAGTGGAGTGATGACTGTAAGCATATGTCTTAGGGGAGGGAAACAGGAGCGGAGGCAGTTCTGCTCTGATCAGTGAGTTCTGAAGTGCAAGACAGAACGCCATCCCCACACTGCTGCCCAGCCACCTTGCCCGAAGCAGAGGGGAACAGACAGGTGTCTGGAGTCATTTAAAAAGCTGGGACATGTTCAGAGGCTGCATTTAAAAAGCTGCATGTAAGAAATGAGCAACTGGGTTCTGCAGTGTCAAGTACAGCAATTTATGCCTTATGCCTACATCTTGTAACAGGAAGGGAAAGTGAGCTTCAGGGCTTCAGAACAGCTTTCACGAGGTGTTTAATGAGGCACTTTTTCAGAGTAAGAGTGATTAAAGCTACTGTATTTTCCCCCCAATGAAATATTACATACTAAGCCTGGCTTTTTTCTAATAGTTACGAGTGTAATTCTGTTTGCCTCAGTGAATTGGCAAGGAATACAGGAAAGTAAGAAGCCAATATTGCTTTCTGGCAAGCTCAATGCATCTCAGTGTCTGCTGACACAGGGACCTCAAAAGTTAGGGTCAAAAGATCTTTTTGCTTTGAAACACTTCTAAACACAAAACAAAGCTAAATTCAATTCACAATCAGGACTAGTCTACCATGGGAGTAAGTGACTGCAACTCTTAGGGCTTCAGTGGACTTGTTCCTGCTGACAGCAGTGATAACTTCGGACCAAACATCTCAGATATGCAGCCAAGCCAAATTAAAGGCTCTGGCAGAAAACTGCAGCACTACCAGCAATGGGCAATTCCCAATAAACACATGAAACAGCGGACTGAGACACAGAGAGCCTGAAAGAATGAGCTTGGAGACCAAGAATTCCTTTTCTCATCTGGGGTCTTGTCATTGCATCACTGCGTGACCCTGGAAAGTTACTTGCACAAGATTTTCAGAAGCTGGTTACTAATGCTTGAATGCCTTAAATTTGGGGTAGTTCTAATCTAGCTACCTCTGGTACAGAATCATAGAGGTAAATGTCACTAGTCCAAGGTGGCTAGCAACAAAAAAGAATGTCTTCCATCCTCCCAGGAGAAAACATGATTGTACAGATGTTCAGAATTTTTCTTCCAGAGCAAAAATAGCCACTCCAGGAGAAAAATAACCTGGGAACAACTAGGGGTAATTCAATCCTGGGAAAGTTTTCCCTAGGAGATCAAATGTCTGTACACATTCCCTTCTAAGAGAAGCCACAGCACAGTTCTCCAGAATCCCAGGGTACATTGCTCCCCTCTCCTGCCAAGAGACAGTGTGTTGCCTGGGTTGGACTCTACTGCTCCAGCTGAGTGGGGAGCAGAACATGCCCCTTCACAATCACCACATTGTACTGTAGGGAGCCACAGGCTGACTCTGAACAGTCTGGGTCAACCAATCAGGGCTTCCCTGTGCACTGCTGCCATCTGTCTCTAGGTAGACTGAGGGAGCCTGCAGAGTACTCTGAGATGTGTACACAAGGCCCACTGGCTATGCAGCATCACAGTGTGAATACTTTGCTCTTCAGGGGCTCACCATTCAAATGTCTGTTCCAGGGTCTCTGGGTAGGTTTTTCTACCAGAAAAACAAAACCAGGGGAATTCTCCCAGATCATTTGAGTATGTGTATGGAGACTTTATCTCCAAACCCCATTCATATGGAAATAGGAGGCTGAGGAATGCTGATCCATTTTCCCTGGGTGCATGTATAGCACAGAAGAACCCACAGGTAAACTTGCATTATGAAGATGCGAGTTGTATAGCTATTTCTCTAGCAGCTAGTATTCCCTGTATTTTCCCCAGACACTTTGTATTTGAACTGGAATGCCTGATGCTGCTAAGTGCAATTGTCTTGCTTTCACTCTTGTGCACCTAGGTTTCCTTAGACCCAAGTGGATGGCTCTCAGCAACACAATCCCAATGCAGCATCATGGAGCCTGTGGCACATCTGCTGAGCCCCAGTCAGCTGGGGTCAGGGCACTCAGCCAAAATTAGCCAAATAATTGGAGATCAGCTAAGCATCATTAAGTCAGACAAGAAAAAGAATGCCAAACCTATTATAGATATTAAATAGTAACTTGATTAGAGATTCTCCATGAGGAGTTTAAAACTTGGCTTTGTAGTGGCCTGTTAACATTACAAGATGGAACCTGACACTGGAGTACTCACTGTTATGTCCCACATTGCATCTCCCATACACTTTGTAGGACTCTAATTCCACCATGGTGCCTCTGTTCTCTCTCCTTGCTATGGCAGCGTATAATGCTTTGACTTCAAAAATGGTTATTACTTGTCTAATAGAACTCCCAGTCCCAGGGTATCGGATTCATCTTCAGTAAACTCTTGACACCGGCATTCGCTGGTGTGTAGTGTTGCCAACTTTTAAACTCAATGGAGAAAGCAAATGCAAGATAAATAAACAGCGAGATTTTGGCGAAAAATAATAAACTCAGCCACCCTGGTTTAGAAAACACGCTAAGCCTTTGAAAGGTTTTGTGTAAGAAGAAAACGACTGTTTGAAACAGGTCCAGGGTAAATGTTTTTGATAGACAGAGATATACAATTAACAAGGGTGACTTTATCTCCCCTGCTAAACCAACACTCTTTTCTGACCTCTCCAGCCATTTAGAGACTATCACATATGTTTCTTGGGGTTGTTTTTCAAGTTACGGGTGGGGGAGGCCAAGGGATGACATGTCCTCAACAGAAAGGATAGCAAGACTCTCTGCAATTAATATTTAAATAAATATGTTCTTGGGCCACAGAAATTCTGCAAGATCATTTAAAAAGGAAGCCAACTGCTCAGCTGGACCTCAAACACTGAGTGGAAAAACTGACCAAGTAAAAACACACCCCTGTTCTACCCTGTAGTCACTAAGGTCCTGGGAAAAAGAATGAGATGGACATTGTTTCTCCAGGGCTTGTGCCTACATTACATTTCTAGGCAGATGCCCTTTGGTGGACTGACTGCCCCAGGAAGAGCCAGGTGCATAGCAGGGAGTGGAATAGCAAAGGACATTTGAATTTAGCAGGCTTAATGGATGTAAATCATGGCATAACTTCACTGAAGTCAGTGGAGCTCCGCCAATTTAAACTCTGAGCTAAACTCCCAATGTCCAGCTCAGGTTTATTTGAGGCTTTATCCTTTGCAGAGCTGGGATTGAAATGTCAAAAGAGCAGGCTATGTCATGGAACGTCTACATTTCTGCTTCTGGATGGAAATGCCATTAGATCCCCTGTCTGGTGGGAATTTGGTCTTTTGGTTCTCGCTAAAAACTTGAAGAGGGAGGGGGAGTTGAAAAACAACCCAGAAACTACTTAGTCCAACTCTTCTGAATCTCAGAAGGGGGAAAATAGATGCTTCAAATGTGATTTTTTAAAATCTTAAGAATGAACGAATATCCACAGGAAGATTATTTTATTTTTATTTTCAGTTCATCTGTCCCTAGAGCAATTATGTACTTGTGGCTCAGGATATGTATACATGGCCCAATGTACAGAAGCAGGGTAAATCAGTTCTAGCAGACTGCTGTGTTAATGCAACTATACTGCATGTGGTACCTTCATGAAGTCGAGTATCTCTACACAGGAATGCACAGAGGGTAAGTTTCATACACGATGGAGGAGTGATACAGATCTTGGTGGATCTCTGTTTTTCTAGTACGGGGGCAGTGAATGTAAACTGCCTTGCTGAGGGGATTTTATTGGAAACACTGCTCCCAGAAACATACTCCGTTTCTATAGACTAGGTGGAATTTGAAAGCTGCACCCTCCTGCAACAAGGCCAACATGAGTCTGATCTCTAGCTTTTGTCACTGAATACTGCATATTGAATGTACTCCAAAAACTGTAGGAATTCATAGAGATGAAGTCGACCTCCCATCTTTCCTCTCCCTGCCTGTCAGAAACAGATAGCCCTTCTCAAGTACTGACTGTGCACAGTGTTAAAACACTGTTCAGTGCAATCTTCTTCCAAGATACCACTCTTCAACAAAAAGTTCAGTGTGTTCTGTCAAGAATGATAGCAATTACCCTTGCGAAAATCCATAGTGAATTTAATAGGGTGGAAGCCAATAGAACTATATCTGTCTTGGATACTACAGAGAAAAAAACCTTTGAGAAAGAAAGAACTCTAAAAATATAGTTAGCCGAATTGGAGGTCTTTCCTGTAAAGTTTTTTGAAGAGTTTTGGGCCAGTAATCTCCATGAGATTTTACAGGTTGATCCCAGAACCCCTATAAAAGGGTTACTGTTTTTTAGTATGTTTTAGAGGATCTTTCTGTAAGGATACACATGGAAAAGACACACTCCATCATCAAAGCCATCTCCCTCTTTCTGCCATTGTCTGATTGTTCTTTACAGATTGCTAAAAGAACATGAAACTCTGGAAGCCAAGCTCCATTTGCTTTCTGATGACTGTATTTTGCTGTGATCTGTTTTGGTGGCCTGTGCTATCTATGACTAAGCACAAACTCAGCATTGGCACAATTCCTGAAAAGGTGGATCAATTGGTTCCTCAGACTGGAGAGAGCGTTAAGAAGTGTTGGACGTCCATTGAGGGTAGGAAGGGGTCAGGCAGAGAGGGGCTGTCAGAAGTTAGAGAGAAGGAAATCATAGAAGTTATACAAAAGAAAGTTTAGAGATCTTCTGGATGCCTACAAGCCTTTTAGTACCTATCCCATCATCTTAAGTTCTTCCTCTGCTATTCACCTGGAAAGTCCCTCTTGCCCATTATGTTGGAAATAGGCTGACGCATGTCTGGTATGTATCGATACAGGTGGGCTCTTCCTCTACTAGTCTCTGGATTGATAAAGTTTTCTTATTTCTTGAAATTGTTCCACCCCTCAGTAGGAACTTCAAAAAGAGGCAGACAGGATAAACCAAACATAGTCTAAATGCATCCTCAGTCCTTTTGCTTCTATGCTATATGTTCCACATATGTACAAACAAGCCAATGCTAGGTCAGAGTCTTTGCTCCTCTTTGATATGACGAAAGCATGAGACCACTTCTTGTTGGACACCTGATGCATCCAGTTCTAAGGCTGATGAATTAATTATTATCCAGGCTGTGGGGAGAGAAGCACACATCCATTTGTAAGTACAGCATTTCTTTCAGAGGTCTAGGATTGTGTTTTATGTCTAGCTTATTATATGCCAACTGGCATGGCTTTTCTCTATTCTGACCGAAACTAGATTGTTTCTATTAATTTGAAATTTAGTAACCGTGGCCACTCTGCTGTAATCTTGAAAATCCGAGCTGCATATGGTCTGCCTGTTCAGACTAAAGTGTGTCATTTGGAATCACAACCCGCTTATTTTTTTCATGAGCTTTTTTTGACACAACACCAACTCCAAAGAAATGTACTCAAAGTACTCACGCCAGAGCCATAATCCCGTAGGGCCAGGAGCGGATTTCCAGCCTCTTCAGGCTTTTCATCTCATCAGAAGTCAGCACCATCCCGCTGTCCGACTCACTTTCCTGTACAGCAAAAGAAACAGGACATCAGCAACATGTTAACTGAATATGACAGCACTGCAGATTTTGAAAGTTAGAAACACCACAGCCAGGGGAGAGTGTGTGATGCAGAAGTTGAGCTGGGCAGCAATTAAAGACGAGAAAGAAAGAAGAACAAAGGGGACAGTTCAAACAGTAAATTCCAGCTGGCGTCTGTCCTTCTTCCTCCTACTTTTCTAAAGCATGTTTTGTGCTATAACACAGAGTAGGCTGACTGCAGACTTAAGTCCTCTCTTTCTTCACAGAGCAGGTAAAACACAGGCAAGATCAGTTCAAGTTTTCCCTAACCCTGGCATGAAGTGGCCACCATTAGGTAGGGTTGAGGCTCCATGGTGATTCAGCTGTGGGTCTCAAATTAAGCAAGCCAACAAGGAACCCCTCCATAGTGGCAGTTCATTTTTAATCTAGAGGCTTCTTTATTAGAACAAGGGTGAGATCTACTGACTTATTCCACACAGGCCCCAAAGAGACTCAGCTGGGCATTATCAAGCAGGATTGGACTTCAAACAGCCTTGGCAGCGGTTTTTAAACTGGGGTTCTGCAACAGGTCATCAGGGGTTCTCCAAAGAGATTGGGGGTGATGGTGGAGCAGGCCAGGAGGCCACCATTGCCTTGCGGGGTTGCCCAGCTTTGTTTCAATTCACATGGCCCATGGAGCTAGGGGTAGGGGTTCCACAGCAGAAGAAGTAATATAAAAGGGTTGTGTAACTTTAGGAATGCTGACAACCTAGATCCTAGAGCAAAGGTTCGCTTTGCAGCCCTGATTTGGCAAGTCACTTGACCATCTAAATCAACTGCTGCATAGCAAACCACTTTCAGAACATATACAACTCTCATCAGCTTAGAAGTTAAGTTTAAATTTATATGCTTTGTTGAATCATGGCTTATATTACCAATCCCTTTAGCCAGCCTGTCTCCCTGGTGCTTTTATTTTCCCTGTGAAAATTGCCTTGTTGGTTTAATGGAGATGAAAGTTATGAGCTGCTTTAAAATGAATATTAAGATACCATGGGAAGTGCAGGGATCAAAACATGTACACAGTTGGAAGATTGTGTGAAACCACAAAAATAATGCTGACAGTTTTGCCTTTCTTTGGTTTTCTCCAATTTTTAAGGACAATTCTGGTTGCATGTATAAGCAGCAGTTTTTTGGCATTGTAGAGCTTGAAATCAGTTGTTAAACCTGATAAAGGGGTATCAGGTAACTCAGGATGGCCAACCTGTGGCCTGAGTGCCACAAGTGACATGAGCAGCCTCTGTGGCAGGCCTGAGGTAGATGTGCAACACCACAGCAGAAAGGGCAGGAAGCAGAAGCAGAGCAGCAGATTGGATAGGAAAAGGGGATGGGAGTGGCATTCAGGGACAGTGGGCGTGCCTACACATGCACATTTATTGTGCAGTAACCAAAATTACTGCACAGTATGGGAGCGCATCTACACATGCACACCTGTACAGTGCAGTAAATGTGACGACTTATGCTGACTTGAGTGTAAATGTGATACCTGCATCACGAGCAGTAAATTTAAGCTGGTGTAAATGCTCATGTAGACATGCCCAGTGCAAGGCTAATTTGTGGTACACCTGCCATAAGGTTCATCCCTACTGATCTAAATGGCATAGCTGCAATCTGAATGGATAGAGATACAGGGAGAACATATACAATTGTAGGGTTGCATTCATGAGATAAAATGTTACCTAAAATACTTGGTGGGGAGACTGGTGGATGTGGTGTACCTTGATTTTAGCAAGACTTTTGATATGGTCTCCCACAACACTCTCACAGGAAAGCTGAGGAAATATGGACTGGATGAATAGACTGTAAGGTAGATAGAAAACTGGCTGGAGTATTGGGCTTAGAGAGTAGGAATCAATGGTTCAGTGTGTAGTTGGGAGCCGGTATCAAGTGGAGTGCTCCAGGGATTGGTCTTGGGGCTGGTTTTGTTCTGTGTCTTCATCAATGTCCTGGAAGATGGCATAGAGTGCACCCTCAGCAAGTTTGCAGATGACACCAAGCTGGAAGGTAGGGCTAGGATTCAGAGTGACCTAGACAAATTGGAGGATTGGGCCAAAAGTAATCTCATGAGATTCAACAAGGACAAATGCAAGGTCCAGCACTTAGGATGGAAAAATCCTGTGCAACCATGCAGGCTGGGGGCCGACTGGCTGGGCAGCAGCTCTGCAGAAAAGGACCTGAGGGTTACAGTAGACAATAAACTGCCGAGGAGCCAGCAGTGTGCCCTTGCTGCCAAGATAGTTAATGGCACACTGGGCTGCATTGGTAGGTGTGCTGCCAGTACGTCAAGGGAAGTGATTATTCCCCTCTATTCAGCACCAGTGAGGCTACATCTGGAGTACTGTGTCCAGTTTTGGGCCCCTCACTACTGAAAGGATGTGAACAAATTGGAGAGTCCAGCAGAGGGCAACAAAAATGGTGCGGGGCCTGGGGGACATGGCTTGAGAGGAGTTTTAATAGCAGTCTTCAACTACCTGAAGTGGGGTTCAAAAGAGGATGAAGCTGGACTGTTCTCAATGTTTGCAGACGACAGAACAAGAAGCAACAGTCTCAAGTTGCAGCAAGGGAAGTTTAGGTTAGATAGGGAAGCTTAGGTTAGATATTAGGAAGAATTTTCTCACTAGAAGGGTAGTAAAACATTGGAACATGTTACCCAGAGCAGTGGTGGAAGCTGCATCCTTGGAGATTAAGACCTGGGTAGACAAAGCTTTGGCTGGGATGATCTAGTTGGGGCTGGTCCTGCTTTGAGTAGAGGGTTGGACTAGATGTGACCTTCTGAGGTCCCTTCTAACCCTAATTTTCTATGATTTCTATGAAATACCCAGTATTGGACTTCTATGAAATATCCAGTATTCAGCACTTACTGATGTTTTAGGAAAGTGAAAATTATTTTGAAAGACTCATTCAATCACTTTGCAAGGAAAGTGGCATCATACATGTGTTTTCCTGGCCTCTATCCTTGAACTCCCTTAATATAAGAAAACCCTTTCAACCATCCTGCTCAGTTAGGTAGCTTAGGTTTAACCTATTTAGGTGTTAAAAAGGGGGCCTAGTTTTATCAACACTTTTTCAGTTTTGTCAACACTGATAAAATTGCTGTTCATTATTTGCTTTGAGGTCATGTCTGGTGGCTACGAGCAGAACCAGGCTGCCACTGTGCTGGGTGCTGCACAGATTCACAGGTAAACTGTCCCTGCTCTAAGTACCTTTAAAGACAACAAAATCAAATGTGGGATTTGGGGAATTCCTTTTGTGTCTTAATTGCTCCTCAGGAGAGCTCAAAAGCAGCAAAATAGCAACTGTATAGGGCATAACAGGAAAAATAAAGGAGATGTAGGAAACAAAACTGTGATCAGTCTTATCTTGCCATCCAAACCAGGTACTATGGAAAAAGCTTGAAGAATAAAAGGAAAATCACATTCTTAAATATTTTAATAATCCCTGGTGTGAACAGGCTCCAGTTAGGGAGCTTGTTTATAAATACACATAGTGAAGTCCTGACTCCACTAAAGTCACTGCAAAACTCCCATTAATTTTATAGGACCTGGATTTTCTTTACACTGACTCTTTCGAAAGGTGGCCAAGAAATAAATGACCTGTACTTCTGCTTTCACAGTATCTTGAAATTATTTAAAGAAAAATAACTGTTGACAACTCAACAAAACATTACAAATAATTAGCACAAATATGGGAATGGGGTAGCGCTATCTTTTGAATGTTCTTGAGTAGCCCTTTGAAATTGTAACCTAATCCGTTGGCATTTAAGGTAATGATAGTCATCCTGATGCACTTACACTGCAAGTAAGGATTATATTTATGCAAGGTTTCTACTGCAATCCGGCACTGAGATGCTACCAATATTTCAAAGTGTCATTCCTTTCCAAAACTTTGGGAAAATACCCCTACCATGCATGTACTTATTTTAGAAAGGCCTCTAATAATGAGATCTTTGGAACATGATGTACAGGCACAAGCAACTGCAAAACAGGTGTGCAAAATGGCACAACTATTAGCAAAACAGACTGTAGACTAGAGATGAAGCTGTATAAACTAAGCATGACAAAGCATTGAGAGAATAATAGGCATCAATTCTGCACGGGCAAAAGAATGAAAAAGAGATCTGTTTCCTATAATAAGCTATAGTTACAGACATTGTCCGATGTAGAATATATATCCGCTGGCTAGAGAAGAGCTTCCCCGTGCAGATCAGAGAGTGAGAGAGTTCCCTGCTTTGGAATTGCAGTGTGAGGCAAAACTGTGTGCAGCCTACTTTCCTTTTGCTGCACCACAGCATATAGGCGCTCATTTTCTCCCTCAACCAGAAGGTCTCTTAAGGGCTTCATGTCTCCTCAGGCTTCTTGCCGTGTAGATTTTGAGTGGAAAGGCTACCACTTCAGTGCTAGTGAATCTATCTCTGTAGCAAGTACCATACAGGGGTATGCCTGCAAGAAGCTGAAACACAAACACAGCCCCTGAGTTATTTTGTAAGGAAGACAAAGAGAAGCCATCCAGGACCTCAGAAACCTGTGATTCTAGAAGTGGCCACACAAAGCAGGGCTGGATGAAAAACTAGAATGCCACATTTTGAAAGATGTTGAGGTTCCAAATGTTTTGGTTTTTTTCCATATTGAAATGAAAACAAGACCTTTCAGGGGTTCTTCCCCGACCTTTTTCTAGGGGGGAGGGGGAAGGAATTCCCAAGCAGCAATATGACTAAGTGGCTCGCACTGAGCACACCTGGGAAAACCAGGCCTTAGCCTCTCTTTGAATTGTTCTATTAAGCAATGTGCAGACCTCTATTCGCTGGCACGCAGCTCCCAGGCCAAACTTCCATCTCCCTGAATGAAGCATACGCATGCTTCAGAAACTCTTTATGGGCCTCATGAACACTGGTGGAAAGAGACATGGTCACCTCACTTACCTCATGCATGACTTTCTCCTTCTCCACTGGCACCTCATCAAATGTCTTCACACTGAGTGGTCGCTTCTTACTGTTAATACTGAAAACAAGAAGAGCAAGACATTAGCGTATAGCAGGGGCGGGCAATTATTTTGGGTGGAGGGCTGCTTACTGAGTTTTGGCAAGCCATCGAGGGCCGCATGACAGGCAACCAGGGGCAGATAAATATTAATTTTCTAAATTTTTAGGGGCCCCATGGGCTGGATAGAATGGCCTGGTGGGCCGATGGGCCACACTTTGCCCACTCCTGGTGTATAGCCAAGCATAATTCTGTCATCTTCCTTCTTTCCCAAGTGACTCTGTAGCTCAAATTCAGCATCTTTTATTGAGTTTTCTTCTACGTCCTGTTACCCAAGGGGGTTAAACATCTGCGCTGTGGACCAGATCTAGCCTGTGGAGCTGGGTCATCTGGCTCATGGACTTTTGCCTGCTTCTGCAGTCAGAGCCTTGGCTCTACCTATGGTGGTGGGGCTTCCTGCAGCAGCAGGCAGAATAATGGGTGGTGTAGCCTATGGGGACCTGAAAAACAGGAAATGCAGCCCTCCAACTGATCTGAGTCTGATACCCTTACTGTAACCAATAAGCAGAACCTTGACAAGCAGAGTCATATGAGTCATAAAATAAGACACTACCCTGAAACTACTCACAAAGATCATCTTCCCAAGTGATATATGACTTATTTCCCAACATGGACTCTGAATTATCTAGATTCTTAACTTAAACCAAACATAAGAAATCATTTTCCTCACCTTGCTTCCACTGCACTCCAGCGGTTAATGCGGCTGCTCAAATTGTCTTCCACTGGGCAGGTTTTGGGGTTAGATTCTCCATCAGGGCATAATGTGATGTTCAGTGGAATATAGTCTTTGCCATCCTACACGTTTCATAATACAGAAGGAATACATTTGGTGAGGATCAACTCTTCTTGTGTTACAGCTGGTATATTAATGACTGCCACATGCCATAGGAACCATTTCCCAAACAGGGCTCTGTACCAGGAAAGCCAGTGGATATTGGTTCTGGGTCTGATTATTTCTTTAGGATAGCTGCATTATGCTAAAGCCAGAATTAATGGCCTTACTCCAACATTTACTACCATGTAGTCTTTGCACAGGGCTGTCCTTTCACTTTGGGAGATCTTCTAAGAAGAATGGTTGAGAGCGTTATAAATCTTGGCAGTAGGGTGTGAGACCTCCAGATCCCCCCATATTCTAGAAAAAGGATGCTCAACCCCAGGGCTGCATGGCTCCCCACAGGCCTGAAAATTTGGTGATGGTGGGACAGTGGCACCACTCCCCTGCTGTCTAATTTCTGAACCCTGTGGGAAGCTCCAGAGCCCAATCCAGCCCAGGGACTGGCCCCACACCACTCACTGGGCCCACAGGGCTAGAAGATTGAGCACTACGGTTCGAGATGTAGTAGGAGTTCTGCCAGTTCTGCTCGTGCCAGCTTAGAAGACCAAGCAATCCTGAGCATGTGGTGCCAGTGACTGGTTTCTGCTTTGGGGACACCATGATGTTTATTTGAAATAGCTGCAAGCAGCTGGCCTTTACAGGCTCCTAATGCTGCATCCTTAACAAGTCTGCAACCACTTATTATTATTACTATGGCCTAAATGAGCAGCCAGTGAGCCTTCATTACACAGAATGAGTCCACTGATGGGCACTCTCAGTTAAACATTCAACTACGTTTGCATTGCACTGCCAGTTTGGGGGATGCCCTAGGACTCCTGTTATGGAACTGAGGACATCCAAATCTCCATGTTTTAGCTGTGGGGAAACAGGGACAGAAAATCCTGGAACACCTGTGGCTAGCAATGCTTTTGCTGAGCTGGGAATTTGAAATGGACGGTGCTTATTTTATAGCCAATGTGCTTACGTGCAACTTGTGCTTAGCAAGACAGTCCTTCATACTGCCTCCTTAAAGCACTTTTCTTTCCTCATTACAACAGATGCCACTGCAACCTTAATAGTCAGCATCTATCATAATAAGCTATGAAATGTCATCAGCAAGTCCTAATTATTACAGTTGCATCTAGAAATAGCCCTTTGTTTAACTTCTGAAAAGCATTTATCAACATTCCCTTCGCTTGATTTCTCTTCTGAGACTCAATTAACTGCTCTGTCCCTGATCACAATCCCTACATTCTCTTTGATTTCCTTTGCTGGACTATAAGCCTCACAAGTTCTTCACATTGCAAACTTGCCCTTCCTCTCCTGAGCTTCCCTAACTCATTAGTTTCCACAACAGAAGGGGCATGAAGAGAAACCTTGATTTCTTCTCCTCATGAATTTGGCAGTTACATAACAGATCTGTGGGATCTTTTTTGTCTTGAACAGAGAAAAAAGAGGTTGATTTAACTATTACAAAATTGACAGTTATGTAATTGACTCGTTGAGCCTTAAACTGCTTCTTTTTAAAGTTTCTAAAAGCAACAATGAACAAACATGGGGAGAAAATGAGGGAGAGAGAAAGTTCAAACTCGCTGTACGAAACAATCCAAACTATTGGCAGGTTGCAATGTTGGAAACTAATTAAAAATGTTTGAGAGATAAAGAGCTATTGTTCCTCTAGGGGGCAACTGAGCCTCATTTTAATTAATGTACTGTAAGTTTCTGTTTGTTATGGGTGGATAAACAACTCATTTTTGAAACATAATTCCCTTTGAATATGTAGCATTTCCCTTGCCCACCCACACCCAAATAGGCATTTTCATTGTGCTTCATTACCAGGTTACATCTAATATCATTGCTTGACATAGTTGGATACAGTCTGCATATGCATTTACACATATACCCAGACACATGTGCAGCTTCTCTTCATACATCTCCTTACAAACTGGCATACCTGCGGACATTTGCCTGGAGGAGGTCTCCTAAGCGTTCAACCAGTTCTGTGAAGGTGGGCCTCTCCGTGGGTACTCCATGCCAACAGTCCAGCATAGTTCGATAACTATGGGAAAGCAGAGGAATTGCAAGAACCTTAGATTTCTCTTTCCAACTTTTTTTTGGTGCCATGCCTTATCCATCTGTCTCCTTATTTAGATGAGTGCCCACCCACTAGCTCCAGTGAAGATGATTGTTTGAACGAATTCCAGTGTGCTGAAGGACTTTAACCTCCAGGTTGCATATCTTCACTATTTGTTGCTGTGTTTCAAGTGCCCCTCTGGGTTGCTGATACTCAGCTAGGTTAACTATAAGTTGCAGACCTGACTGGGTCACTGAAAGAAGGTCAAGGTTATGAAGATCTCACGAGACCTGATAGTCCCTTAAACAGACATTTCATACACTACAGCCACCCTTGAACAATCCATTAACCTTTTAAATGAACAATGGCTTGGCCCTGTAGCTGACTTGGTGTTTTTTGTTATTTGACTGTGGTATTAATGCACCCACTATATTTAACAAACAAAATATAGAAAACAGATGGTGGCAGTGTAAGCAATCCCTCTTTCCACCTCCTGTTCAGCATACTACTAGAAGTCCCTCTTATATGGGTTAAACCCTAGCAGTTGTCCCAGGAAGGTGGGATCGCTTACATTTCTGGGGTAGAATACTCTGGCGATCTCATCCGAGTTCCTTCTTTGAGGCGGCGGCAAAAATCCTCATCAATCTGCACCCCTGGGTATGGTGAAGCACCTGTTGGGATAGATGAAGAGAGGCTCTGTCTTCTCTGCTAAATCAGTGAAATCAAAATAATACCCCAGGTAATGGCCAATTATTCCAGCTCAGGTGGAAATGGGAAGCCGGATCCCAAAAGGTGCTGCAGCAATGGAAAGGTGTTGCATCTCTCAGAATCAGACCCTTTGCAGAAATGACACAGTGGACCAGATGAACAAAGGTAATGAAATACCTAGTGGGAGTTTCAAAAGCCCTTAAGCAGGTTAGGTGCCCGACTCTCCCATTGACATCTTTGTGTACCAAATGCATTTTTAGTGAAGGAACAAAAGCTAAAGCGAGGCTCGTGGGCCAGGCCCAAACTCTTATGTCATTAAGTTCCGATTGGTCAAAAGACAAAGTACCTCCATTGTAGACAAAATGCCTGGAAGCCTAGGTGGGTCAGCCCCGCACGCTTGCCTTATTTTTGTGAAGCAGTGCTTCCAGCAATGACTTCTCAACCAACACAACAATGGCATTTCAGCACACAAAAATTCATGCTAATACAGCAATCTGGGCACACGAATGGACATGAGCAGCCCTGTTACAGCCCTGCCTTCTCCTTTAGAAATTAATTCTACCTTGGAGCATCAGGCACAACAAAGACACTCTTCTGCTTTGTCTGAGAAATCCGATTACCTTTTGAATAGCACATCCCTTCTCAGCCTTGTTTTCTTTTTTAACCATCAGTTTAATGATGGTTACATCTGCTGATTAATGATTTATCTCTCCCAGAGATGGAATGGAGAAAGCAGCATCAGGGCCAGCTCTCTACCCCACCCTATTACTGTCTCTTGTTTAATGTACGCCAAATGTATCTTCAAGGGACTACATCTAAGAGAGCTCTGTTAAAAGGCTCATTCAATCCTAAGCTTGCATCCAGGGGTGAATTAGTGCCAATTCTGATTTTTTTTTTAGGCACTCTAGGAACTAGACTGGCACCATCATCTCAATCTGCATAGCAGCTTGCTCATCAGTCATCAAACGGGAAGAGTAAGCCTAGTTCCATATAATGGAAACCTAGTTCCATATAATAAATGGCCATCTTCAGTGCTATTCCATTACACACAAATGTGGACAGGAGAAACTCAAGAAATTTTATATAATTGGATATAGAGTCAAGTTGGAGATCTCTAGCCATGTTATGTAGCATTTGCCACTTTTATTACAGCACAAGACCAGGGGGAATAGAGAGTTTGTACAAAGGTTTTGAGGCTTTTAAAAGAGAAGAGGACTGAAAATAAGTAGGTTTTACTCCTACTGAAGTCAGTTTGTGCCTGCTTATTTTCAAGTGGGTCTGTGGCTCTAATAGGATCCCTCTTTCATTATTACAGATCCAGCCCAGATGGGTGAAACTAAGGATATTTTCACACTACAGTCAAAGGTATCGCTATGGCCTACATAGATGAACTTAGGCTAGCTTTAAACCAGTAGTCTAGAAATCAGCAGCTTGGGTTCAGGACAGGCAAACTGCTCCAGATTTACCCAGATTGTTGGATTTTGTAGACTGCACTAACCTCCATGCTGCCATGCTATCGATACCAAAGCTAGCTAGTTTAAAGCTTGCTCAAGTCTGTCTATACAACCTACAGAGAAAGATCTTTGTGGGTGATATCTTTTATTGTACCAACTGCATGGTGGGATAAAGATAGACAAGCTGTCAAATACAAGGCATCTAATGAAGAATGCCTTTCATTTGAAAGCTTTTCTATCCTAACCATGAAGTTGGTCCCATAAAAGATGTCATTCACAAAGATCCTTGCCTCTCACACAATCCCTGGACCATCACAGCTACAACCTCACTCCAGTTCTACCAATACACAAGCTACAGTCACTCCCCTGACTGTTGTGTAGATAATATAGTCTACGTATTGGAGCAAAGGCAAAGGAACTGCTTGTCTGCACTGCAACAGTTATCCGGAGTTAGAACACCAGGTCTTCCCAAGCTAGCTTGACAGCCATATAGTTTTTATAGGCTTTAATGAATCAATGCTTGAGCCGCCCAGAGCTATATGGTAAACCTCACACACTGCTTAGCATCTGATGAGTTACTGCTTAGCATCTGATGAGTTGTGGTAACTTGAGCCACTGCATACCCACGACATTCCTAGCTTCCAAGTCAGCAGCCCTCAGGCTTCAGCCCACCCACTTTGGCCAGCTGGCCAGGCATGATTTGACTCAGACTGGAGGTCTGTGTGGATGGGAATTGAGTGAGGAGCAGAACTTGTGTTGCACCTTACAACAAGGCAGTGAAGACAAACTCATAGGGGAGCAGAAGCTAAGAGCCTTTCAGGATATCAGTTTCTACAACCCAGGCCTCTTCAGGGGCCTCTCTGGTATTCCTCCAGTTGGAGCAAGGGAGAAAAGCATAAGTGAGTGAGAGCTTGTGTTTATCTTTTTACTGCAAAAAATGACAGAAATTCCTGCTCCTCTGGCACCTCTGGGTTCCCTCCTCTCCAGCAAAGACTATAATACACAGCTCTTTCCTTTCACAGTTTGGCATCCCTGAGGCTGAATGATGAGTTTGGAAGAACATCTAATCTAGTCTTAACAAAGGGGATTTAATGGAATCCAAATCTGGGTCCAACTCTTGAGGAATCTGTATATAGTTTATTTACTTTCTATAACATTTCTGTCTGATTTCCTGCTCTCCAGCTCAGGATTGCCATTATGTGCTCTGCATTTAAGGGCAAAACAGGCCCTGCAGAAACAGTCATACAAAAGAAATGAAGAGGGCACCAAGCACTGAGAGTTCCTCAAATCATTGAGTTGCATGGGTTTTGCCACTTGATCCCCCCAAATCCTAGCCTGGGATGTAGGAATCCTAACTGTTTGCTAAAGGGGTATGTCAGTTCAGCAAATAGGCTCAGAAGGCAGTCAGAGGCTTAGATCCATGTAGTCTTTACAGGCTTTCAAGAATTGACTCACTCAGTTCATAAAGTCCTTTTGAAATAGATAAGCCTTATTATAACCTGTTTACAAATGAATAAATGGAGGCACAGAGAAATGAACAGGCTTCCCCAAAGTCGCACAGTGAGTAAGTCCCAGAGTTGGGAACAGAACCCAGGAGGCTTATCTCCAGCTTCTCCTGGAGGTATTCGATGAAGGCACACCTGGACAGGTCAGTTTGCTGAACTTTGAATTTCAAAGGCACCACTCTTTCTGAATGTATCTGTCATTACAAAGAAAGCCTGCTGCTTTCTCTAGGGCAGAACCAGGATTCGAATGATAGATTCATAGATTGTTAGGGGCTGGAAGGGACCTTGTAGAGCTTATTTCACAGTCTGGACACCCTGACTGTGAAGAAGTTTTTCCTTGGGTTAAGCCTGAAACAGTTTTCCAGGAGTTTGTGGCCATTACTCCTGGTTTTCCCCAAGGGTGCCCTGGTGAACAATTGTTCACCAAGCCCTTGATGTAGTGGTAAGCTGCTACCAAATCCCCTCTCAGCCTTCTCTTTTTTAGGCTGAAGAGACCCAAGCCTTTCCTTGTCTGGCTTGCCTTGCAAGTCTCTCATCATATAGGTGGCTCTTCTCAGGACCCTCTTGAGTTTTTCCACATCCTTGTTGAAGTGCGGTGCCCAGAACCGGATGCAGTACTCCAGCTGTGGCCTCACCAGTGTGGAGCACAGTGGGAGTATCACTTCTTTAGTTTTGTATGAGATGCAACGGTTAATGCATGTCAGCATGTTGTTTGCCCTGCTGGCCACAGCGTTGCACTGCCAGCTCATGTTCATGCGATGGTCGATCACTACCCCAGGTCCCTTTCAGCTGTGGTGCAAGTCAGATTGTTGCCACCATGCCTGTAGGTATGTCGGGGATTGTTTGCCCCCAGATGGAGCACCTTACACTTCTGAGTGTTGAACTTCATCTGGGTCCGGTACATCCAACTCTCCAGCCTGTCCAGGTCTGCTTGTATCTGCAACCTATCTTCTTGCACGGCCACGCTCCCACATAACTTGGTGTCGTCCACAAACTTGGCCAGAGACCTTTTCACCCCTACATCCAAATCATTGATAAAGATGTTGAAAAGCACTGGACCAAGCACACACCCCAGAGGGACACCACTGGCCACTTCTCGCCAGGATGACACAGATCCATTCATGAGAACTCTCTGGCTCCTATCCCGCAGCCAGTTTTCCACCCAGTGAACTGTTCAGCAGTTAAGCCCATAATCTTCCAATTTTTCCACAAGGATATTGTGGGATACTAGATCAAAAGCCTTTTGGAAGTCTAGGTATATAGTGTTGACCTCCACTTACACTTTGACTTTTGGGGGAGGGGGGAGTCTGCAAAAAAAATTGGGCTGCCCTTCACAATGTCCTAATAAAATCAGAGACTCCCCAGGTTATGATTTTCAAATCTTACAGAGGGGCTCTTGTTTCTTATGGGCAGGCTGAGCCCCCCGCCCCCACAAGCTCCCCTGTAATTTGCACTGTGGGCAGAACTGATCGGATCCATTGATTCCCCAGTGATCGCATCCAGCCTCCTATATCTATTAAGTTGCCAGCAGATGTGGGTAGAAGCTCATGACTTGGGACAGTTAATGCTTACCTGGCCAGTATCTGTCCTATATTAATGCAGACTGCCTAACATTTCCAGTTCTTTGCCAAATGATTTCTGTGTCTGTGGTGTCACCAGCAGAAGACTATGACGCCAATAGATCTCCATGTGGAGAAGCTGAGCAGGATAACTGAAGGGTTACTCTGGCTGTTCTATACCGTACAATCTCTCCCTACTAAGATCTGCCTTGCTGAATTGTGCTGATTGTTCATGTTCCTGCCTTCCACAGCTGAGTTTGATATTAAAACCTAGGCTTCAGTTAAGTACTAGAGCCATAGCTCTGGTAAGTGATGGCTGGAGACACTTAACTCAAAGTATCTTAGATTATTTGGCAGCATTTTCTAGTGCTGATTGACATACATTGATGTGAAGAGCATGGTATGTGGCAAATAGTTGGGTTGGAAATTTGAGCTTGCTCCACTTGCTTATAGTATGTACCTAAGCCCTCAGCATTTGAGAGGCTGCTATCCTTGAGACCCTGCTGCAATACACTGGTGAGAAGGAGAGTATAGGGAAGGCAGAGAGATTTGATTCTTGACTGCAAATTTTTTGGCACTCAGTACTTTGTCCACTGCTAACCTCAGCTCAGATCTCAAATGGAAGGTGTTAAAGCCCCCTCCGCACCACTGTAGATCATCTAAACTGTGGCACCTGCATAATGAATTTTGGATTTTTGCCCTTCAGACAGACTGAGAGAAAAGTGGGTTCAAATGCATGAGAAAGGTCAATACATGACATTTTCTTTAGAGGAATTCTCCTGCAAAATGCTCAAAGATGTGGCATGTGCTGGATATTAAATAACTTTTTTTGATCTCACTTTTATTCTACTGGGATAATACGATGCTGATGTTACGCTACCAAGCACTGATTGTTTACATAATTACCTTTGATTGCCTTTCGAAACACTGCAAACTTAAATTCCAGGAGAGATTGACATTCTGTAATGTGCCATGTAATTGATTTCAAAATGCATTTAAAATTCCTGGCTTTCTGTCCCACCAAATGCGTTGACCCCATTTACATAATTAGTAGCAAAGCCCAATGCAAAACCAACCACAAAATCAAGATTAGCAGTCCCTACTGTCCAGGTTTCCCTGTTCATCAGCAGCATTGGTCCAGTCTGCCAAAAGCTTTCAGAGGAAGCTTGTAGTGCTCCCTTTCCAGATTCAACTTTTGGCCCTCACAGGACCCACGTCCAAACCAAACTGTGCATTTTTCTAGTCAATCTCTCTTCCTTTTTTAAAGGTACTTCATCTTTGGGACCCAGTAAAAGCAGTGATTGTGGAACAGAGCCAAAACATACCCTGTAGCAAAGACAAATAACTTTCCGTACTCCGACTCTCAATGATCTGTAAAACTTTTATATAAGAAGTTCAATCAGTGACACAAATCCTTAATTAAATATTTATCATGTGAACTGCAGATATGAGTGGTGCCAAACCACAGACATGCCTGGATGATCCTTATGAAAAACCCTCTTAGGGAAAATGACTGGTTTTTGAATCAGTGCCATGGATTGAAAAAAGTGGTTTGTGATCTACATCATAACAAGGGCAGAGGAAACTCTCTGCATGGTGAACCTTGCAGTAATTTAGTGGATTCCTCTGAGCTCAGAAAAGACGGTCTCGTTTCCCAATTAAGTAGTTTCATTAATAAAAGGGGGCATTCAAAATAAAAAAAAAAAAAATCAGAAAGTAACTTAAAATGATTTAAAAAAAAGATCCAGAGAAATAAAACAAAATAACTAAAATATATACCCACTGAATTCCATCTTAATCTTTTAACCTTTATTTGGCACCTTCAGTATTAAAAGGCCAAGTTCTTAGAATTTCATGCTGGTTGAGCACCACGCTGCCTTTGGGGAGTGGCTGGTTATTTTCCCACACAGCAACACTTTTGCTTCCTGAAGCATTTGTTGCTATCCACCCATGTTCAGTTCCCTGGTTCCTTGCAGACACTCCCACAGAGGGGCTGTCCCATTAAATACCTCTCCGCATGCCAATATACTTCCCTTAATGATATGCTGGCATGCGGCCACTGCTGAAGCTTTTGGGGCTAGAAGTTCTGAATTCTAGCTTTCGTCTCGTTCCACATTTCCAGAGTGTCTGAACCCAAGGGCATCCCCCACTACTGTGAAGCCCTTTGGCAGCCATGTACATGTTACACTAGAATCTCATCAGTGTAAATAGATACGTGGATCTAAGGCCAGAGAAATAGCAAAACTGGAGAAAGCCGTGATTCCCTGTCCTGTGTTGTACCATAAAGTCTCTCTTTGGTGTAGCACGGATAAACTCGAGATGAACCCAAACCAAAGGCTTTTGGATAGCCAAGCAACCCTGAGATCTGAAGCAATTCAAATCAGGTTCTGATCTCTCTACCCCCACCCTATAATTTCCATAATTAGATTAACCATAGACTTTGGCAAATCCTGCAGTCTGCACCATTCTGGGCTGGACACCTTAGTCACATAATTGTCTCCGTAAACCAGAGTATTTGGAGGATCACATAGGGCTGTTCAGAACCCAGAAGCATAAATGCATGGGCTAGTTGTTTGCCCTTAAAATGTTTATGAGGAAGCCACTCACTAGCAATCCCTATACTCTTTGAGGAAAAAGAATATGCCACTCCGTAGGGGGGTGGAGAGGAGAGTTGATTGAACAGCAGGATTCCACTGCCTAGACGTGAGATTTCTTGTTTGAGTTCAGAGATTTTATCTGTTGGATTAAGAAAGGATCATCCATTGGATTATCAAAATGGATTAAGCTTTCAAAGAAGTCTTGCACCCTCTAACTACAGGATGAAGCAACTCAAGAACTAATGTCCTTATTCAACATAAGCTGTGGCCCGAAAACAGTGCAGCCATAGGAGGATGCAACCTATGCATTGCTACCAGAATTACTTGCACATAGAACAAACACTGGTTCTCACGTCAGCACTATAATGCCTGCATCCAACATGTGGCATCATGGCCTTTTTTTTTCTTACTAGCATTGCATGGAAAGGCATAATCAAGCCAAAGGTAAAATCCAGCCATTACAATTGTTAACTCATGCCCACAGACTCCTTTGTGGTTTATGGACTTCCACTAGCAATATCAGACCACTGTGTCAACAATGGTATAATTCTCTGCAACCTATAAGTGGTGTGGTTTCTGATTTGAAGGCAGAGACTTCTTGTGGAAACATAGTGTTTGAAAGGGAACCTTCAACCACTTTAAAAACATTTCAGTCCAGGGCAGTAGTGGTTTATATTTGCTGCCTGCTCTTCTGGTTTCAATTATTACAAATTTCAAATCCAAGATCTTTTAATTTTTTTTAATATCTATTATAGGTCAAATTTTGCCAATCAGAGCCACTGTTGGCTTTGATTGAATTATTTCTGATTTACATCTGGCTTATGCCGGAGATCTCACCATAACTGTAATCAGAGTGTGCCTCAGTGCCCTTTGCTTTTCTGTTAAAACTCTGTGTGCAACAACTGTTCTATATATATGAAAAAATAGTTGTAATCTTACCCAGTGAGAATATTTCCCACAGTAACACTCCAAAAGACCATACGTCACTCTGGGTTGTATAAATCTTATCAAAAATAGCTTCTGGAGCCATCCATTTAAGAGGAAGTCTTGCCTAGGAATGAAAAAGACACATAGCCAGAATCATTGTTATTAATCTGCCCAGTCCTTTGGGGGAGTAGAGTTCTAGCTTGGCCCTTCAAGCCCCCTTCACTTACATCTCCTTTCCGGACGTAGTCAGGATCTTTGTAAATGTCCCGTGCTAGGCCAAAGTCACAGATCTTAACTACATTGTTTTCAGACAAAAGGATGTTCCTTGCTGCCAAGTCCCGATGAATGCACTATGAAGAAATGAGAACAAGTGAGATCACAGGGCTTGCTTGGACAACAGGCTGTTACTGACATGAAAAGCACTGGGTCTCTTTGAAAACTGAAAGAAAAATGACCAGGCTGGAGAGGGAAGATGTATGTGGGAACCTACCATAAATATACTGGTTTGTGATACAGAGGAAAATAACTCATCAGAGGGGGGAAAAACTGAGAATCACTGTCATTTCTCACACTCCTACTCAAACAGCTAGGATCTGAATAGAATTGTAGCTCCCCAGTTAATCGTTAAATCTTATGGGCCAAAAGCCAATGCAGCTACATTTGCAAATGCAATTACCACGTGCGTACGTGAAGTTGGACAATTGCACATAGACATAGCTGTGCACAGAATTCAATGTCTGAATGTGGTGTTTTAGTAACCATGTGCATACATACAAGCCAACAAGTCTGTAGATAGTTTTGCACCTGCATCCTATTTTACCGTCTTTTAAAATGTTTCCTACAGACTATGGACATAAACGCAGTGGCACGACAATAAGGCATTCATTTGGCTGTCAGTCACCAACAATTAAGTACTGGCAAGTTAAACTTACACACTTATAAACATATACACTCCCATTAAACTTTCAGAAATCCCTTTCTTCATGCTGAAGCTCTCTCTCTCTCTCTTTTCTTCTCTTTTCCCTGCCCCAACCTCCCTCCACTTTGTCTTCCTCTCTCTCCCCAGGACAGATTTCTTCATCTTAAATGTGGATGATGCCTTCTTTTTTCCCCTCTCCTTCCAGCTAAGGCCCCAGGTCACAAATGCTGTCTATCCAACCATGCACCAGATGGGAACTCTCTTTGTAGGCCTATCAATATTACTAATTTATTCAGTTCAGCCAGAAAAGTTGGTGGAGGTACAATAATGCAAGATAAGAGAAAGTGAGAGGAGAAATCAGGCTTAATAGTATGTTCCAATTCCTTCATCTCCATGCTATGAAAGAAACTTAGTCCTAATGTCTTAATGAATGAACCACAAAGGCAAAAAGAAGAAGGATATAGCAGAAGGAAAGCTTACTTTTCGGGAGGCCAGGAATTCCATGCCTTTTGCCACTTGGAAACTATAGCAAATCAGATCCTCCAAGGTCAGAGGTCGCTTGTACAGATCCTCAGTATCTAGAAGAAACCACGGAAATGTCAAAACCTAGAGGATGCAGGTCAGTTACTTTGGAAAGCTCTTGTGTAAACCATATGTCCCAGTTCTGGAGACCCTATAAAAGTGACATTTGGGGAGAAAAGTATGGGTGCCCTTTTTAACTCAGTTGTGTGAAGATCACTTTCAGGAAGGACAGCTTGGCCACAAAAACATTCTGCCACAATATTGCTAATATCCCTCCTACATGGAAGAAGCAGATGGTCTGAATGCATGCTACCACAGTTCTACTCTACTGAGTCTAAGGGTAGGGGTACACATGAAAAAGGAATCAGCCCTGACTTACAGGACCCACCCACAACTAAAGCAAGGCTTCTCTCTAAAACAGGTGTGCCTTGCAGAAACAGTCAGAAACAACAGAAATCTGTAAGAAAGGACATGGGAGTAATGAGTTTCAATTACCCTCTTCATCCTCCTCAGAGTCACTGTAACTCTTGTCTTCAATGAACCCTGAGCTAGCAGAGCTTCCTGTGCTGGCTACACTCTCAAGGCGTCTCTTGATCAGCTCTGTTAAATCACTGTTGGACTCATCCAGACTCTTCTCTCCTTGGTCAGAGTTTTCCTGGGACTAAAAATTTCAAGAAGAGAATAAGAAATGATTTTTGGGTAACACAATGCCTGAGCACTCATGGGTATTTAATGGAATGACATGCTGGAATTTGGAAAAGGATCTTGCGATGGGGTCATCATAACAAGGATTTTGCAAGAGCACTGAAGTGCAGCCACATCTAGGAAAGGAAGCCACAACCAGTCACTGAAGCCCATGAAAAATAAGAGTGAGAGAGGAATCTCAGGGGAAGGTAATGGGGAAAATCCCCTCCTCTCATAAAGGCACCACCTGTGTTTTATTGTAGATGCAGAGCAGATGAGACAACACTTGTTAGCGTTGTCTGGAAAACCCACATGCAGTGAATTGTGTGGTACCTGGGAAGGATCCAGATTCCTGGTAGGATCTAAATCAGTGGTCTCTAAGTTTTAGAAACTTTGGGCTCCCAAAGGTGCTATCTGCTGTGCTCTGTCCTTTGGTAGAGATGACTGGCTTGCTTATCTCCTTTCACAGTGGTTTTGACCAGTTGTTCACTGTTCTTTTTTCCTCCTTTGTGCCTGGTGGTGGCAAAGTAGCACCCTAATGTGTCCCATTTCAGCCCTCGAAGTTTACATGAGCATTTGTAATGGATTACACAGTAGAGGTTGGAGGTGAGTGAAAGGAGGGAACTAGAATAGGATCCTTCAGAGAAAAGGGTCCATTCTCCCCCCTTCCACCCTGGACAGGTTGGAATTGGATGGAAGAAGAAGTTGGGAGCTCAGATAAAACTGAGACCCCTTGTAGCAAGTACAGAACAAAACCTAATTGTAAGTAGCTGCAGTCATATGATCACGAATTAGCTATCTCGTAACTTCATGAAAATCTAGTTGCTTTACCTTGCATGCAATGAAATCCCCACGTTTGCCTCTTAAGTAATTGGACAGATTTCCATACTTGCAATATTCAACTATAACCATCAATGGACCTGCAAAGAGAATGAAACCAAAGGAGTCTTCAGACATGTAAAAGTGCAACACTGTACAGTGCAGAGTTCCTGCAGCAGAAAGGCTTTAGAGCAGGGCAAAGTGCTTAACATCAGTTCAGCCTCACAATTCCTG